TTCCGAAAGACTCCTGTCCTCAGCATGCTGAGCAGCTCCAGGGACTCGCTCCTCCGGTTAAATCCTAGCTTTGCTCCCTGCACCGACCTCTCACCATGCTCTGGCCTGCACCTTTGCCCTGCTGCTGCTCTGAGTTTGAATTTTTCAGATTTAAAATAAAATGATACCATGTGAAATTTGTCTCTCTATGCCTGGATTATTTCACACAGCATGATGTTCTCCGAGGTCACCGATGTTTTTGCAAAGGATAGGAGGTCCTTTTGTGTGGATGCATAGTCACCCTGCATGAGTGTGAGTGTGCACACGTGTGTGAGTGCACGTGTGTGCGTGTGTGCCGCGCGTGTGCCCCATCACTCACTCATGGGCGTGTAGTTGATTCCATGGCTTAGCTGTCGTGGTCTGCAGTGGACGCAGGAATAATAATGGATGTAGGAAAGAGCTCTCTCTGAGATTCTGCTCTCGTTTTCTTGTCCGTCTACACCAAAAAACGGAGTTGGGGGACCACATGACTGCGCTATTTTTACGTTTTTGAGAAATCTCCTTACTGTTTTCTACAGGGGCTGTACTGTTCCCTTTAATTTTCCCACTGACACGCGAGGCTGAGCATCTGTAATACCTCTGCTGCCCACACGGAGCGCTTTCGAGAAAGCTACATTCGGGTCTCTGCCGATCTTCCGTGGAGCTCTTTGTTTTCTCGCTATGAGATTTGTGTGCTCCTCGGTGTTCTGGATCTTAAGCCGTCGCCCACTGTGTGGTTTGTGAATATTTTCTCCCTTCCCATTATTGACCTCTTCCCCTGACTGATTACTTATTTTTCTGTGCTGGAGATTCTCATTTTGGTCTAGCTTAGCTTCTATTACCCGTGCTTCTGGGTTTCTAATCTCCCCTATGCCTGCATCCTCTCCGTGAGGCTGTGTCCCCCTCCCTGTCTGTCCTCCAGTGGCTTCCACGGCCTCAGGACTGACATTTGAGCCTTTTGTCCACTTTGATGGTATTTGGTGGAGGATCCCCGACCGCAACAGCTGTAATGGACTGACGGGGAGGGTGTGAAGAACGGGGGAAAGTTTGGAAAAACTGGGGGAAGGGAGCAACCTTGTGAAACCGTGGTTGTGAAGAGGACAGAGAGACGGCTGTGGGGCAGAGAGGCTCCTTCCCTGATTCTTCTCTGCAGTTTCCAGCAGCTGCTCCACGATTCCTGTCCATCATCTCCAGCGGCCACGGAAGCCACTGTCACACAGCTGGTGTCTGACACAAAGACACTTATTCCCTCACAGTTCTGGATGGCAAAGAGCTGGAATCGTTTCCTCCAGGGCCCGAACCTAAGTGTCCCTGGGGCAGCACCCGGTGCAAGGACCTGAGGGCCAGGGCCCAACACTGGCTTCTCCAAGAACGTCGAGGCTTCTGGCCGTGTCACACCAGCCCCTGCCTCTGCGTTCATGCGGTCCCATCCTCTTCCCTGTGCACGCTCACCCCGTACAAGGCCACTTGTGACCGGACCAAGGAGCCAACTGGATGTCCCTAGGTGATCCTCTCTGGCTCAGACCCTGAGCCCCGTCACATCTGCAAAGATACAAGCGGCACCCACAGCTCTGGCCGCTAAGGCTTGGGTTCCTCTGGGCTCTGTTCTGACCCCTGAACAGCCACGTGGCCCCCTGAGCCCCCAAGTGCCCCAGACCTTGACCCCTGTCGTCATCTGTGCTCTGCTCCTCTGCACCCTCACACAGGGGGCGGTGTTGTCATGTGTAGCACACATTTGGAGACCAGGGGCCTTGTGCCCTGAAAGAGAAAATGCACACATGACGAGGAAACATCTATATTTTTGTTTTGGTACTTGGGATTGAACTCGGGTCCTTGTGCTTGCAAGGCAGGCCACCGAACCGCTGAGCTAAATCCCCGGCCCAGAGGAAATATCTCTAAATAGGGGATATCTTGTATCTGGAGTGTATCAAAGACTTTCAAAAGAAAAACAATCTGTAGAGCCAGGGATTTGGCTCAGTGGTTCCACTGCCTGCCTTGCAAGAGCAAGGTCCCAAGTTTGATTCCCGGTACCACAAAAAAGAAAAACAATCTGAAAAACAAGAAAATGAAAAACATCCCAGTTTTTTCAGGACAAGAAAAGAAATAAAAATGCATGTTTAGAAAAGGACAAGCCGGGCGTGGTGGCGCATACCTATAATCCCAGCACTTGGAAGGCTGAGGCAGGAAGGAGAATCGTAAAGGACAAGCCGGGCGTGGTGGCGCATACCTATAATCCCAGCACTTGGAAGGCTGAGGCAGGAGAATCACTGTGAGTTCAGACCAGCCTGGGCTACACAGTGAGTCTCAGGTCAGTCTCAACTACAGAGTGAGACCCTGTCTCAGAAAACAACAACAACAAAAGGACAGTGTGATTGAACAGACATGTTTCCGAGGACACAAATAAATGATCATTAGGCACGTGACAAAACGTTCAGCATCACTAATTACTAGAAAAACGCAAATCGGATCTGCGATATAAAATATCATGTCACCCAAAATATATGCAATAAAAATGAGATTCCACTTTACACCCATTGCCAATGTTGTTATTTTGAAAAATGAGAAACTGCAAGTGCTGAGGGGGATAAGAAGGAACTGGAACTCAGCATTCTTGCTGAGAATGTGAAATTGTACAACTGCTAAGGAAACAGGATGATGGTTCCCGAAAAGATTAGACATAGAACGATCACATGATCAAGCAGTTGTCACCACAGACCTCAAAGAACCGATAAGAAGAGGTGCGATTTTTGTGCATCTCTGATCAGAGCAGCGCTGTTCACACAACAGCTAAAAGCGGAGAGCGACCAAAGTGTCCATCCATAGATGCACAGGTAAACAAAACGTGTCGTGCAATGTTATTCAGCATGAGCTACATCGAGGACCCCAGTACGTGCAAAAAGCTGGTCACAAAAGGACAGAGAAGTCTTCACGGGAGACACTTAGGACTGGGCAAATTTTTCGACAGAGGAAGTTCAGCGCGTGTTGTCGGGGCAGGGAAGATGGACCGATATCTTTTAAGGGCACGGAGTTCCTCTCGGGTAAGATGAGAGGGGTTCTGGAGATGGAGCGTGGTGGTGGCCGCATAGGTCGTTAATGGCGCTAACCCGTACATTTAAAATGATTAGAATGGCAAACACTTTCCATCCATTTTGCCACAGTGCCCACGAAAGTCACCATGTACTTGACGGTCTATGTCACCAGAGGAAAAAAGGGATGACTAATAACAAGACAAAATCACATTCAACATCATTTACCATTGTGGAGTCACAAGTCAGACATCACAGGGTAGCGGCACATGTTTATTCGGATGGTAAAGAACAAAAATGGAATTTAAAAGCCCTGATAATGCCAAATGCCAAAGAAGCAAGTACAGGGAGCACACAGAGTGTTAGGAGAATACAAAATGGTGCAATCACTTTGGAGAAGAGTTTGGAAACTTCATATACACGTAGGCTTACACTCGCCATATTTCAGGCAACCCCAAGAGAAGTATTCACCCAAGTGAAATCCAAATGCATCCACACAAAAGCCTGCGTGGTATATTTATGGCAGCTTTATTTCCGTCACCAAAACCTGAAAACAATCCAAATGCTCCTCGGCCTGTCAGCGTATACAAAAAGATGGTTCATGGGAACAGTGTGATACCTTCAGTAATCAAAAGGAACAGAGTGATTCACACACCCCAGCACACGATGACCCCAAACACGCGATGACCGTCGGCAAAGCCACACTGTAAAGACTGCACCGAGTAAGATGGAAAATGACATGAACCAAACCAAAAAGAATTCGTACAATCACCTCATATCGGTTGAAAATATGTCTTCTGAGGCGCAAAAAACTGTGGGAAGGCTGGGGGTTTAGCTCAGTGGTGCTGCCGCCTACACTTAGTTGGAGTTCCAATACCAAAAAAAAAAAAAAAAAAAAAAAAAAAAAAGGAGAAAAGAAAATAAAAAAAAAAAAAAAAAAAAAAAAAAAAAAAAAAATGTAGGAAGCAGATTTACCACAGGAAAGGAAGGGGTCATCTGTAAAATGGGGTCAGACCGGAAATCACCACAGTTTACACTGCAGGAAAGTGGAGAAGTTTCATCTACGATTAAGAACATATGTCCTGCTGGGTGTGATGGTGCACACCTATGACCCCAGCACTCAGGAGGCTGAGGCAGGAGGATCACTGTTAGTTTGAGGCCAGTTTAGGCTACCTAAAGAGTTCAAGACCAGCCTGAACTACATAGTGAGATGCTGCCTTAAAAAAAGAAAAAGAAAAGTGTCCATTTTCAGGAGGGTGCCGCGTGACTCTTACTCTGGAAGTGTCACTGACACTCTGGAAACCAGAGCAGTAGATGACAGAGAAACAATTCCACATGGAGAATTAGTCAAAATAGCTACTGTGTCACCATGGCAAGCTCATGGGCAGCTCGTGCATCTGGTGAGGTCCTGAAGCTCAGCATCTCGGGGCAGGGGCCACAGCAGTGCTGTCCCTGCTTATCTCCAGCCCCACCAATCCTGCAGCTCACTGGAGGTTGGCTGAGTGGATGCACGAGTCAGTGAGCAGACGCTGCCTTCTGTTCTCCTAGGACCTCTCCCCGCTCTCGCTCACACAGGCCCCGCTAAGCCCTGAGTCCTGCAGGGCCCAACCCCTTCAGAACCTAGAGAGAGCCGACTGTCCTCAGCCAGGCAGGAGGCGCCCAGCTCCTGGTGCAAACAAACAACCACGACCAGAAAAGCACCTCGGAGTGGGAGGACCGTGGACTTTCGCCTGTGCCACCTTCCTGAGATGCCCCCAGGGTCCTGGTCCAGGCCTAGAATCTGAAGGAAGTGCTCGAGCTGGGGACACGAGGTGGCCTCTCATTCTTTCCTGCTCTCTGAGTAGCACTTTTGTGGTTTCGGTCCTTTCTGATGGAGGATAAAACCCAATCCCATGTAGGTCCGAGCTCCTCTTCTGTGAGCCACTGAGGTCTCGTGCTTCTCCCTGACTTCCAGGGGTCACACAGGTCCCTCTCTGCTCACTCACAGGAGCCTGGAGCCTTCAGCGCTGAGATGCTGCTGCGGCTGCTGCCGCCCCTGCGGTGGGCAGGTGAGTGGGCTCGGGCGAGGGGCCTTGGGGGCTGCACAGAGCTGACCCTCCTTTCCCGCAGGGTCTCTGGCTCATTCTCCGGATACCAGCTGACAGCGCCCAAGTCCGTGCCGGTGCAGGAGGGACACAGCGTCTTCATACCCTGCAGAGTCTACTGCCCCTGGAGGTTCTGGAGCAACTTTCCCCCGGCCTGGGGCTCCTGGTTCAAGAAGGAGGCTCGTTATGACCGGGATCCTCCAGGGGCCACAAATCACCCATCCCGTGAAGCGCTGAAAGAGACCGAGGGCCGGTTCCACCTCCTCGGAGACCCCAGGTCCTACAACTGCTCCCTGCGCATCAAAGACGCAAGGAAAACGGACACAGGAGTCTACTTCTTCAGGGTGGAGAGAGGGGATGATGTGAAATACAATTACAGATGGGACCACCTCTGTGTGTTTGTGACGGGTGAGGAGTGAGCTTAAGATGGGCCAAGGGGCGGAGCAGGGCGGGACGGGTCCCCTGCTCCTCACGGGGGTGCGGAAGGACTGGGGCAGAGGGGCCGGCCGGGGCGATGACAGCGGGACAGCGGTGCCCTCGGGGCCACACTTGGGGTCCCCCAGGGCTGCGGTGTCTCGATCCTCCTCTGCTCTGACAGAGACCCCTGACGTCCACATCGCGGGGACCCTGGAGTCTGGCCTCCCTGGGAACATAACCTGTGCAGTGCCGTGGCCTTGTGAGCAGGGGACGCCGCCCGCCTTCTCCTGGACTGGGGCGAACCTCACGTCTACCCTGGGCCCCGAGACTCCCCGCTCTTCCGTGCTCACCATCACCCCAGAGCCTCGTCACCACGGCAGCAACCTCACCTGCAGAGTGACCTTCCCTGGGGTCAGTGTGGCCGTGGAGAGGACCGTCCAGCTCAGCGTGGCCTGTGAGTGCCGGCCAGGATTGGAGGTGCGGCGGGGTCAGATGAGACACATAGGCCTGCAAGCTGCTTGTGGCCACCACCCATGGATCAGCGACTTTCTGTTCCCGATGCCCCGGAGAACTTGTCCATCCACGTCTTCAGGGCCAACAGCACAGGTAGGAGGGGCCTCACCTACTGGCGCTGTGGAGGGGTGGGTGTTTCTGTCCTGCTGCTGGGTGACGCCCTCTCCTGTCACTGTGAGCTCCTAGGACAGTGCCACTCACCTCCAGGAGCTTCTGGCTTCCGATCTGTCTTTTCCCTCTGCTGCTGCGGCTCCTTGCCTCCTGATTCTCTAGCATCCCTCTGACAGCACCGTCTCACTCATCAAGAAGCCGCAGCGCATCAGTTCCCACAACGGGCCCTTCCCCTCTTTGGGAGCCCTCCCCTCCCCCTGAGCTACTAAAGTCCACACCCTGGAAGCCTCTTTAGACCTCTGGGTGCCACCAAACACCACGAGTCAGTGAGTTCGGGACTCTGATGTCTCTAATCCCTTCCTCCTCCGTCAGGGCCTTGGCCTTTCTCGCCAGGACCTGCTCCAGCTCCCTTCTGACCCAGCGGCCCTGTGGTCATGACCTCTCCCCTGCTCGGAGCCAGGGGGAGCTCTCTGTAACCCAGACAGGACTCCATTCCTGCCCTGCTCAGAACCACCCATGGCTCCCTCAGGAGGCCCAAAGGCACCACCTGCCTTGGTTCCCCCAAGAGGTCAAACCTGCCTGAGTCGGCACGAATCCCTGTTTTGCGTATTGAGGGCCACTGTCCCGGCCTGTCCTCCCTGGAGTAATGATGTCCCAGCTCTTCGTCACACCTCCACCCACCTATGCCGGGGCAGGCGGAGCTTCTAGGGCACTGAAGGTCACTGCCTCCCCTCAGAAGAGAAAGGGCGGGGCGGACACCATGCTAGGGTTGCCAGATTTAGAATAATTTCTTTTTTAAAAAAAATTCAACGCATTACTTAACTTTGACTTTATAATTTAAAAAAAAAATTTTTTTTTTTTGGTACCAGGGATTGAACTTGGGACCTTGTGCTTGAGAGACAGGTGGCGGCACCACTGAGGTAAATCGCCGGCAAAACAAAAAATATTAACATAAGTAGGCGCCGTAGAATCCTTCACATATTCCTATACCAAGAAAGAAAAGGCGGATTCACTTTTAAAATCTGAAACCCAACACCCCCAGGCCTTCTGCCTTCTCCTGCGACAGGACCAGCCCCTCCTCCCCCTCCACCCTCCACCCCACGGGACCCCCAGAAAATGTGCTCTCTGCGGACTTTCACTTCTGCTTCTTCAGTGACCCGGGGCAGAGGGACGTTCCCAGCCGCCATTCCTCGCCACAGCCAGGCCCCAAGGGACGAGACACGGGTCCTCCCCGTCCCTCCTCCAGGGGTGGCTGTGGAAAAAAGCCAGGCGGCCCTGCCCGCCACAAGATGGCGAGGACAGGTGGGCAGGGTGGGTGGGGACTGGAGAGAAGGGACCGTGAGTCCTGGGTCCAGGGGCCTCCTGTCAGCGGCTCATTTCACGCCTGAGCCCCCAGGGCCGGCTTCCGCCCCAGCTTCCCCTTCTGTGCGCTGCCCTCAGCCACATCGCAACTGCAGAGTGAGCTCACGCCCGGCAGGTCCAGGTAGACCCAGACCATGCTGCTCCTGCTGTCCCTGCTGTCCCTGCCGCTGCGCGGTGAGTGGGCCTTGGGCCGGGGATGGGGGGCGCTGGGGGGCTGCAGGCTGAGCCTCTGTCTCCCTCAGGGTCCTGGGCTCAGCAGCCAGGGTACTGGCTGCAGGTGGAGAGGCAGGTGACGGTGCAGGAGGGCCTGTGCATCCTCGTGCCCTGCTCCTTCTCCTACCCCAGCGACGGCTGGGACTCTGACCCGGTCTACGGCTACTGGTTCAAAGAAGGCGCCGAGGTGGAAAAGGGGTCCCCTGTGGCCACGAACAACCCAAACAGAAATGTGTGGTGGCACACCCAGGACCGGTTCCAGCTCGTGGGCAAGCCCCTCGAGAAGAACTGCGCCCTTCTGATCAGAGCGGCGTGGTGGAGTGACGGGGGAACGTACTTCTTCCGGGTGGAGACAGGAAAGAAGGTGAAATACAGTTTCAAGACCGAGAGGCTCACGCTGGAAGTGACAGGTACTCAGCGCGGTGCGGTGACTCTCGCCCCAGGGAGGACCGTGGGGCCCAGCCAGGGCTGAGCAGGGCCGCCTCACCGGCACCCACTGGGGTGGCCCCACCTCTCCCAGACCTGACTCAGAGGCCAGATATCTTCGTTCCTGACACCCTGGAGCCCGGACAGCCCGTGACCGTGCTCTGCGTCTTCAACTGGAGCTCCAAGCAATGCCCAGTCCCTGCCATCTCCTGGGCAGCACCCGCCCTGGACTCTAAAGAAACCAGACCAGCAGACGCCCCCTACATCATGCTCAGCCTCACCCCACGACCCCAGGACCAGGACGCCGAGCTCACCTGCCGAGTGGACTTCTCCAGGAGCAGCCGGAGCTCCGAGAGGACGGTCAGACTGCGCGTGGCCTGTGAGTGTGCCGTGCGCTTCGGGTGTGCACACAGCCCCAGCGCACAGAGGGCTCCTTGTCAGGGAGGCCCGTGCAGAGTCCTGGGCGCTCCTTCTGTGGGGAACAGAGCATCCTCCCCTGAAGACGGCCTCAATCTTGTTACAGATCCCCCCAAACACCTTGTGGTCAGCATTTCCCATGACAGCGGACCAGGTACTGAGGGCCTGCACGGTGGGGCAGGCCCAAGCCTTGGGGAGGGCGCTCAGGAGGCGGGGAGATCACTTCCTGCAGCCCTTCTCTTCCGCCTGTCTCACCGTGTGTCTCTGACTCTCCAGCCCCGGACACCCAGGGCAATGGCTCCCGTGTGGAGGCCCAGAAAGGCCAGCTCCTGCGGCTCCTCTGCGCTGCTGACAGCCGGCCCCCTGCCACGCTGACCTGGGACCTGGAGGGCAGAGTCCTTGCTCGGTCCCCTCCCTCGGGACCCAGAACCCTAGAGCTGGAGCTGCCCAGGGTGAGGCCTGGGGACGCAGGGCGCTACACCTGCAGGGCAGAGAACAGGCTGGGCTCCCAGCACAGCTCCCTGGAGCTCTCCGTGCAGTGTGAGTGACCAGGATGCCTGTTCTGGGAGGGCAGGGTGGGGACCGGGGACGGGCAGGTCCCAGAGCAGTGAGGGGCTGGAACCCCAGGCCTGCAGGACCAGGCTTCTCATCTGCCTCATGGGAGGGCAGTGTGTGGGGACCCAGGGGCTGGCTGTCCCCTCCCACCACCTCCCTCTCTGCCCAGAGGGCAGCCCCAGCCCTCCAGAGCCGCTCCCATCTCCACTGCAGATCCCCCGGAGGACCTGAGAGTGACAGTTTCCCAAGCAAACAGGACAGGTAGGAGGGGGACAGAGGGACCAGGGCCTCCCATGGCCCCTTGGGGGCCCAGGTGTTAGAGCAGCACATGGATTCTGCCTCTGCCCTCCCCAGTCCTGGAAATCCTCGGGAACGGCACATCCCTGCCCATGATGGAGGGCCAGAGCCTGCGCCTGGTGTGTGCCACCCACAGCAGCCCCCCAGCCAAGCTGAGCTGGGCCTGGGGGACACAGCCCCTGAGCCTCTCCTGGTCCTCAGCCCCTGGGGTCCTGGAGCTGCCCCGGGTGCAGATGGAGCATGAAGGGGAAGTCACCTGCCACGCAGAGAACCCGCTGGGCACCCGGAGTGTCTCTCTCAGCCTCTCTGTGCACTGTGAGTGTGTGGGGGAAACCCTGGGGACTGTGAAAGGGCCCCTGTGACCTCCTCTCCCTCCCACAGATGCCCCCCAGCTGCTGGGCCCCTGGTGCTCCTGGGAGGCTGAGGGTCTGCGCTGCAGCTGCTCCTCCCGGGCCCGGCCTGCCCCGTCCC